GATTTAAATAATTGCCCCTTCATTTACATTAAAATGGCCGCCGCACTGTGCCGATCAGCTGTTTGGCGGCACAGTGAGGCAGTCTGGACACACCGCGGTCGACAAGGGACGCCTTTGTCCACTGCTCAGGTATGCCTCGTGAAATGAGGTTTATCGGAGCGGTCGACAAAGGCTTCCTGTGTTGACCATGGTACGTCCAGACTGCCCCGCTATGCCGGCAATTATTTAAATCACCGCTTCATTTTCCTATGTCTCGTAAACTCATCTACATGGCTCCATCGACGGAGCCATGTAGTCTAGACACACCCTCATAGTCCTGTTCCCACAGCCCATGGGATCCAAACATGTTCTTCAGCCTTAGCCGCCGCTGCACCGAGCTTACACTCAGCACTGCCACGAAGGGGTGAGGAAAGGTGACATCTTTCCTTCACTTTGCCTAGCCAGTGGCCCAGACATCCCCAGGCTCATCCTAAAGAGGCCTTGGGGCCCAAGAATATGGTGCCTCATCCCATCCTGACCTTGGAATGCCCCATCTTTGCCTCATCTGCAGAGTGAGGTGTAGGGGGTGTGTGGAGCTGGCCATGCCTTAACAGAGGATACTCTCTTTCGGAGGGACTCCTCAGCTTCCCTTGTAAGGCAGCCTTCTATCTCCTTTGGACTGGCAACCCTTGCTGACTATCAAATCAGCTGGAGGGGGTGTGAGGATTTGGCCCAGACAGACTCCTGTTTCCTGTCAGGTTCCAGTTAACAGGGGAAGGACACTATAAGCATCGCAGTAAATTCTAGCCAACTGCTTTATCCAAATGCCCCGTGTCTCACTGTGCAATCCTACTCGGACCGGTGGGACCAAGGGGGAGTTCACTGGCTGCAGGGAACTTTGCATGTTCCTTTGGACTCTGCACTTCTGCCAGCCTTGTTTGGACCCCGCTCCAGGTTAGAAGCCAGATCTCCCAGGATCACATATTTCACAAGTAAATAATAATTTCCATGGAGGAAGTTGGCTCCTGCCACTGCTACTAGGCTTATCCCTATTGGGCACTGCAGGCTTCGAGGCACCCAACCAACCTGAGCCAACGGGGCAAGTGATCACATCGGAAGGGGCAGCTTTCGGCACAAGAAGTGACCATCTAGGACCCCACCTCATGGTGATGTTGGAGGTGGGGCCGTGATTGGGAGGAGTTCTGCTGCAGGACAATACCTCCTGGCCCCAAAATACTCCAGGAACCAAACTGTAACCAGCTAATCCTATGGGCTGGAGGAACGGAATCAGGCAATTCCTGCATATGAGAAGCCTGTGGCTATGTGCCTGCAGGACCCATAGTCAGCAGGAGGCAAGCTCAGAGCTGGAAAGGAAGCTGTGAGGATGAAGGGTTCTCCAGTCAGGAGGAACGAGAGATAACCTGACTGAGCATGGAAGGGCCTGGGAGACCCAGCGGGGACCTTGAGAAGAGAGGCAGGGAGTGGCCCAGGACACACTGGAAATAGAGCAGACCTAGCTGGTTGAGACAGGGTTCTGGCCAGGACCCGAGAGCCGAGGTGGGACAGGGCTCCACGGCCAGTCACAGGTGTTGGGGGTCTGTGTGGGTGCCTGAGACCAGCAGGCTGAGCTGAAGACTGGCTGAGGAAAAGTCCCAGAAAGGCTGGAAGGGTTTTTGTTTAGGGTTGGGACATTTTCAGATGTTTAGTTCGGGACAGCTGGGACTGGAAAGGGTGCAGGAAAAGTGGTGTCCTGCCACAGGATGGAGTTACCAGCTCAGCTCTGGTGCTGGCGTGACCACTGGCAGGAGGCGCTAGCCCAGCAAGAGAGTGGCGACGCCATGCCTGGCCGTGAGGGGGCTGCTAGCAGCGAGTAGGCCATTACACACCCCTGGGCCAGGCTGCTGAAAGAGAGGGACTGAGAGGGAAAAGAAAGCCTGGGAGGAAGGTGTGCAGGGAATGGAAGGCAGCCTGAGGGGAGATGACTGGTAATCTGACCTGTTGATGCTGGGGAGGGGACAGGCGAATCCCGGCTCTAGATCACGGAACAGTGTGAGCTCTGCCCTGCATACTTTGAGGATCTGCTGCGATGAGGCATTTCCAGACTCTCCCAAGTCTGATCCTCTGTGAGATGCCTGAAATTGCTTTTTAGCCCCGTATTGTGCAAACACAGGCGATGTGAGGTTCTTCAGAGTCTCTGAAACACTTTTGTCTGAATCAACCTGAAGGCCCTGAAATCGCCAGGCAACCAGCCCGGTAACAGGACACCAGGTTTAGAGGGGAGAACTGATAGAGCCTGAGCTCAGCAGGGGGTCTGGATATTTATGACCCCAGCAGCTGTTTCTGTGTTACAAACCCACTGAAACCGAAGACCAAAGAGTTTCTTATGCCAGCAAATTGTTCTGAGGTGTATTTCCTAGGTCAGTGTTTCCCAGTTTTATTTAGCCACGAACCCTTTTAAACTTGAAAGAATTTTGTGGCACCCCTAATAAGCGTCTTATATATGGAACTGAAAAAGTAGACCACAAATAAGGATAATAATAAACAAATGCTAAACAAGGTCATGAGATCAACACAAATGACAATTGTTTGCAATAAAATTCATAAATGCTTAAATATTAATTATTATTTTTTAAATTATAAAATGTTATTGTAATGGAATTTTCTCGCGGAACCCTTATTTTTATTTTGAAGAACCCCAGGGTTCCCCTGAACACCATTTGGGAAACACTGTCCTAGGTAGTGCTGTAAAATGGGGCACAAATGAATTATTCCCTTTAAACGAGTGTTTATATAGATTTGGCCAGAAGTGGCATGTTTCAGACTTATTTATGGGAGAGGCCACCCCGGAGAACTGGACTATTCTGGGACCTTAACTGTGATGGTAACCCCCAACGAATATGCAAATATTTTAGGGAGAGACAGATCTGACCAGTGGACTAGCTAATCAAACTGATTTCAGACGGGATGGGCCGTACCAGAACTTTTGGGTTTGTAGGTGCCTGCAATACTTTATAAGAATCACCTCTGTTCCACTCACTAGTGGAAAGTAGTATGAGTACAAAGCCACTGGTTTCAATCGGAACACTGCACAAAAAGGTCAACAAACTCACCTGTCCCACACATGGCAGTGCACTTAGTCCAGGAGCCGTATCGCCAGAGAAACTCTGCCGGCTGAATCTCATTGTCCTGGTCCGACTCCCTTCGGATCGTGTACTGGTAGCGAACCCCTGGGTTTGTCTCCTGAAACAGCAACTGGGAGGAGACAAACAATCCAAGTCACAGCTCATTCAGCAACGCACCCACTTTCTGCTGGCACACACTAGGCCTGTTGGCATGGATTATCCGTCGAGACACTGCTGTGCAGCAGCAGAGCAGACACAAACGTAAGTGTGTGCGACAGAGACAGTGATCTGGAGAAGACTGGAGAGAGTCCTGTTCAATCCACAAGGCCCCTAGGGTCTGTCTACACAGCAAAGACAAACCTGTGGCTGACCTGTGCCGGCCGATTCAGGCTTGTGCTGCCAGGCTTTTTCCCTGCTGCATAGACTTCTGGGCTTGGCCATGCTCTATCTGTAGCTATCCAGCCCACGAGGAGTAACGGTAGTTCGGAATAGGAAGCCTAATCCGAACTACCTAGTTCGTGCCGCGTGTAGCCGCGGGCACGGAGTCAAACTAGCGGACATTTAAAAATGGCGGTGCCCGGCAACATGCAAATGAAGCCCGGGAAATTCAAATCCCGGGCTTCATTTGCAACTCCAGTTGCCTACATTAACCACCCTAGTTCGAACTAGGGTGGTAGTGTAGACATACCCAGAGGTAGGAGGGGGAGGAGAAGAGAGAGAGTGAGGTAGGAGGGGAGGAGACTTAAATACAAATGAAATTTTGTAATTATTAATGCAGAATTTTGTTTAAGAATGACTTACAATATAATTAAAATAAAAATTATCCAACTAAATTAAGTTTTTATCAAATTTACCCAGTTCACATTTAATTTGAAAATAGCCTTCAATTTGTGCATTTGACGCTTTTTTTCTATTTTTTTTTCAAAAGGGGGCCCCACAAAATTGTTCTGCCTTGGGTCCCGCAAAACTCTCATCTGCCCCTGGAGGAGAGGCTTTGCACTCTGCCCCCAGCACAATCCAATTGGCTGGTTTCTGGCCAATGGGAGCTGCCTGTTTGAAGCACAGATAGCACTGTTCCCTTAGGCTAGTAGCTATTCACAGACCCACATGGCCCCAAAGCCAGTGCCTGGGTGAGGCAGGCAGGAAGCCTGCCTGGAAACCTGCTGGGCTGCTGGCTGGAAGTCACCCAGGTAAGTCTCCCAGCCGCATCCCAGTCCCTCCCCCTCAACCCTCGTCTCCCTCACTCCTGCCCCCTTACCCCACATAACCCAAACCCACCGCCCCCTCCTGCACCCAGACCCATTCCCAGACCCTGCACCCCAATCACCTGCCCCAGGTCTCAGCCCAAACCCCTGCACCTCAATCCCATACCGCAATCTCCCTTCTGCACCCAGTCTCCATGCCAGACCCTGCATCTTCTTCATTAATATCATGGAAGAGTGCGGCACTTGACCACCTTCCAAATTCCTAGAGTGGCCCCTCCCCTATCAAAAATTATCGCCCACTCCTGCTCTAGTCTGATCTCCCCTACAGCATGGGCCATACAATTTATGCAGCTGGGAAAGTGTAGCAAACGTATTATACACTGATTGACACAGCACCTTGGGCAAGCAACAAAGTGCTTGGGAAAGTACAAAAATGGCGCATTTGTAAAGACCCTTCTCCTCACCCACAGGTGAGTTGCAGCTCTCACAATTGCACCAGTAGCTTTAGAACAGGGGGAGAAAATGAGCAAATTTACATGAAGTCACAGGGACATTTTGGTAAGTGCCATGTAATTAACCAAACGGAAACTGGGGCTCATACCTCTAGTTTTGCCCCCTTCCCAATGGTCAGACCCGTGGGGTTCTCCATGCTGGTTATGTCTTCCCTCCTCCCCCCAACAGAAGTGCCATAGGAGAGCTGATAACCAGACCGTCATGACCTTGATTTTAGGTCTTATCTGACAGACCTCACCCTCTGAATCTTGGTGCCTCCTAACACGACACCTGGATTTGGCTTACTGTAAGCCTAGCCGCTACGTCTACACTGCGGGAGGTTGAAGGGAGCACATGCTCCCGTCGGCTTCCCATCCTCATCAGAGATCGAGGAGTACCGGATGCCAGTAGGGGGCTGCCCTCAGCATTCATTTTGGGGGTTTGCCAGAGAGGAGCCATTGGACGTCTGCGTGATTGCCTTCCTCTGAGCTGCCTGAAGGCTAGTTTGTGCAAATTACTTTTCTTGAGCTCTCCATTGAGATATTTTACATATGATGGAAATTCCTGAGGTTCTCTCTTTTCCTGGCTTTGTAGGCGAGACTGTTGTCACTCCCGGGAGTGACAGAGAAGAAATGCTGAGGCAGTAGAATAGCAGGAAAAGCTCTGTTCTGTATGAACCCTTAACAAGCAACTTGTCTTAAGATGGTGTGAGATGGAAGCAGGAAGGGAATGCAATTAAGGTTTGTATTTTAATAGGTGACAAGAGAGAGAGAAAGAGAGGGAAGAAAAATCTAGCAGCAGCATGTTCTAGAATGGATGTTATTACTGGGATGCATTTGAGCTGGTCAATCATAAAACGAGGCCTTTGGTTAATCTTTGTTTGAGGAGTTAAATTTGTTTTACGAATATCTGCCTGAGGCCACATCATTTCCACTGTTGTCATGGCCACCTGCATACAGTGAGCGGCTCATACTACTGACCTGGAGACAAAAGTGCCAGTGTCTAACACCGTTTCCTGAGGCATTCCCTGGAGATCTCCCTGTGCACCACTCTGGTGAGCAAATACAATCTGTGGAGCCCATAGTCCCTGCCGATACGGCGTCAAGCAAAGCAGCCCGGTGTACAGCACAGTCACACTGACTTGCAAGGGTCTAAGGCAGGGGTAGGTGACCTTTTCTGGATCGAGGACCCACAGAAAAATCAGTCGGGGGCTGCAGAAAAGCCAAACCCAAAAAACAACAACAAAGCCCTCACTGACATGGCCCCCGAGTGAGCAGCAGAAAGACTCTCTGCACATTCCTCTTGCACACCAGAACCTAGGGGACCCCAGTTTAGTAGATTTTGTGGGACCCGCCCTAATCTCTGAGGTAGGGCCAAAATGAGGGGTTCAGTGTAAAGAAGGGGCTGCCTGAAAGCAGGCTTGTGGTGTGGGATCTGGGCAGGAGGGAGGGTGCAGGAGTGGGCTGGGGGTGGGAGGGCTAGGCAGGAGGTAGGGTTCAGGAGCAGAGAGCAGGTATGGGGACTGGGCAGAAAGGTGTGTGCAGGAGTGAGCTGGGAGTTGAGGTCTGGACAGGAGGGGGTGCCACTTCCTCCCCCTGCCAGTCTCAGCCCATCAGTCAAATCCAGACCCTGACTCCGGTCCCTGACTCTCCCTGTGGGGTTCTAGCACCAGCTCCCTGATGCTGGGGGAGGGAAGCCTAGTTTACCTCAGGGGCCAGGCAAGCCAGGGCCAGATCCGGTCTCCGGGCCTTAGGTCCCCCACCCCAAGCTAAGAACTGCTTGCACTGAGAGATGGAAACCAGCAAAATGAAATAAGTACCCAGAACAATCTTCAACTAGTAAAAAACACTCGAAACAACGTCGTACGTCTCTCCCGTGTGAAACGTGGGGCTCGCTCTGCACACGGGATTCCCTGTTTAATATCCGTTCACTCCCAGCTGCCTCGCATACCAATCAGCGGGGCCACAGTGCTCACGAAAGCTTGTGGGCTTAGCCCTGTTTTCTTAGCCTAAGTGCTTCTATTATCGCCAAAGCTCTGTTGTTCTTGGACCTTTGGTAGAGCAGAGGGCCTCCTTCCAAGAACCTCCTGAATAGCCAAAGGGTTTTAATTAGGTCACAAATCCCAGGAAGCTTTCCCAAGATGTTCTAGGGAAAGGCACTCTGAACGTTAACATTAGCAAGGGAAAACGATACTGACAATACTCAAAGTTTTGCGATTTCTCATGTTTCTTTCTAAAAATAGATTAACACATCTGCTGACTTGGTATTAATCAAACCACCCTTTCCATCCAAGCGGAGAACAAGACCAGCATACCATAGACTGCTGCTTATCCAATCACCACTTCAGCCCTTCAGGCTAGACTGGTAGCTCCTACATGCAGGAAAAGGCACTTAGCAGGTGCCATCAAAAGCATGAACATACAGTATTATGAGGCCCTGAACTATTTACCCAACCTCAGTACAGGAATGGGAGGCTCCTATAACATGGCAGCAGTATCCGGCACTTCCTATAGTTCACATTTAAGCAAATATGAGCTAACTAAATAAAAGCTGCTGGCTGGATTGCTAGGGTTTTACACTGCCGGAGAGTTCGGCCAATCATGCAAAATGTCTTTTGTGCCATGAAGCACAGCATGGACCCTTTGGCCAGCTCAGGCTAAGGATGCAGGACGTGCTCTCAGTTAGTTTCTGCAAGGATCAGCATGGGTTTGCAAGAGCTCAACGAAGGGCATCCCCAGCTGGGCTGAGATACTTTGCCTGCGAGTGTTATTTTATGGAAGAGGACGGTCAAAAACTGGTGGTCCCACGAGGCATAATGGGATATTCTTTGTAAATGGAAGATCCCTGGCATCACACCCAAGTAACATAGGGACAATACGAATATGGGGTCTGACAGTCTGACACTTTGCACCTTCTGCTGCCATGTAGGCATGAAGCAGTGTCCAATCAGAATTCCCCGCCTATTTACACCAGTGGCAACTTCAGATACCCATGTGGCAATGATCCTGCACCACTGACTTCAGCGGGCAAAGGGTCAAGCTTTCACCTTGAACCGGTGTCAATGACAAGACAGTGAAGCAGAGGCTCAGGTCCCAGGATTGCCCCTCTCTTCCCACCCCAGCCATGGAAGGGAACGTCGTAAGGCTGTGGATGCAGCAGGCTGGGGTTCAGCAAAACTCCCTGTCCCAGGGAAAAGTAACAGGCAGGCGTCTCCTGTCAGCTGCTGCTGTCATTACCCTTTCTGCAAAGGCCGTGAATGCAAACACGGGGGGAACCAATTTGGTAAGGAACTCTGTGCTCCAACCTGTTGTCTGCAAAAATTACAACGCTGACAACTCCTAGGGAGCCTCAGGTATTTGAGAGCAACTTACCTCTCGCTGAGGGAGTCTCGTGTTTCCTTTTGCCTTTCCCACCTCTAATTAACACACCTCCC